AAAGCAATCCTGAGAAGGAAGAATAAAGCTGGGTGGGAGATTATGCTCTCCAACTTCAAGCTCTACTACAAAGCCACAGTAATCAAGACAATTTGGTACTAGCATAAGAACAGACCCATAGACCAATGGAACAGACTCGGGAACCCTGATATAAACCCAGCCATATATAGTCGATTAATATATGATAAAGGAGCCATGGACATACAATGGGGAATTGACAGCCTCTTCAACAGCTGGTGTTGGCAAAACTGGACAGTTACATGCACGAGAATGAAACTGGATTATTGTTTAACCCCATACACAAAAGTAAACTCGAAATGGATCAAAGACCTGAATGTAAGTCATGAAAGCATAAAATTCTTAGAAGACAACATACACAAAAATCTCCTGAATATAACCATGAGCAACTTCTTCCTGAATGCATCTCCTCAAGCAAGGGAAACAAAAGCAAAAATGAACTCATGGGATTACATCAAACTAAAAAGTTTCTGTATGGCAAAGGACACCATCAACAGAACAAAAAGGCATCCTACAAGTATGGGAGAATATATTTGTAAGGGACATATCCAACAAGGGGTGAACATCCAAAATACATAATGAACTTACACGGCTCAACACCCAAAAAGCAAATAACCTGATGAAAAAATGGGCAGAGGATATGAAGAGACAGTTCTCCAAAGAAGAAATTCAGATGGCCAACAGACACATGAAAAGGTGCTCCACATCACTAATCATCAAGGAAATGCAAATTAAAACCACAATGAGATATCACCTCACACCAGAAAGGATGGCCAGCATCGAAAAGACTAAGAACAACAAATGCTGGTGAGGATGCAGAGAAAGGGGAACCCTCCTACACTGCTGGTGGGAATGTAAGCTAGTTCAACCATTGTGGAAAGCAATATGGAGGTTCCTCAAAGGACTAAAAATAGAAATACCGTTTGACCTGGGAATCCCACTCCTTGGAATTTACCCAAAGAATACAAGTTCTCAGATTCAAAAAGACATATGCACCCCTATGTTTACTGCAGCACTATTTACAATCACCAAGATATGGAAACAACCTAAGTCTCCATCACTAGATGAATGGATAAAGAAGATGTGTTACATATACACAATGGAATACTATTCAGCCATAAGAAAGAAACAAATCCTACCATTTGCAACAACATGGATGGAGCTGGAGCACATTATGCTCAGTGAAATAAGCCAGGCGGAGAAGACAAGTGCCAAATGATTTTCCTCATTTGTGGAGTATAACAACAAAGCAAAACTGAAGGAACAAAATAGCAGCAGACTCAGAGACTCCAAGAAGGGTCTAAGTGGTTACCAAAGGGGAGGGAGGGAGGGGTGTGCAAGGGTGGTTGGGGAGGGAGGGAGAAGGGGATGAAAGGGTATTATGTTTAGTACACATGGTGTGGGGGATCATGGGGAAAACAGTGTAGCACAGAGAAGCCAATAGTGAATCTGTGGCATCTTACTACAGTGATGGACAGTGACTGCATTGGGGTATGGGTGGGGACTTGATAATATGGATAGATGTGGTAACCACATTGCTTTTTTCATGTGAAACCTTCATAAGAGTGTATATCAATAATATCGTTATAAAAAAATAAAATAAAATAATTAATTGCTATCACCCGGAACTTTTATTCTATTCACATAGCAACCTTCCAAGTTACATGGACTGGAATGAGATTTCTAGAACAAACCTCTACAACTTGCCCATATGGAATGAACAAAGAAGTCCACTTAAAGCAGGTACTTATTTAGGCCAGTCCACATATGTACACTTATTTAAGCAACTATGACCTACATTACCATGGGATCTATTTTAACATTTTACCTGAAGTAGTAAAAGCAGTTCACAGCACAGTAGTGCAATTGTATAAATATCACAAAAGTGAGTGTGAAGGTTATTTTCCTTTCCTTCGTTTTAGACAATAAATTACAATCCTCTTCATGGCTGCTGGCCATGGGAACCTCCACCACATTCTGAAGCACATTTAAAGAAGCTTGTCTAACCCGCAAGAGGCTGTGTGTCCTGATCAACAGTATCGGGCCCAAGAGGAGCCCCAAGAGGCAGCAAGGTGGAGCAGTAAACTTTCTCCAGCTGAGGCTGGCATTGTTAGAAGCAACCACAAATGACAATCTTGAGCATCATGCAATGAGAACAATTTTTAGTAAAAACAAATCTATTTTGGTTCTGTCTTTTGTAAACAATTCCTTTGCTCTGAGTAGTCTCTACTCTGACTGATGCTATGATCCAGAAGATGCTTCTTTATTCTTCTCAGTAATCCCTGGCAAATCACTTGGGGCCAGTCTTCAAGATCCCAAATTTACCTCCTGAAAGAATAACTCCCTCCCTGATCTGAGTCCTGTGGTCCTCCTTACCCTGAGCACTTGTGTTTTAGATGTTTACTAGGTGACATCTGCATTCCTGAGCAGGCTGCTCTCAAGATGTTCTTGAGTCCTTTCATTGTGGGTCTTCTGGAAGCCTCCATACTAAGGCAGTAAGTGGAGTCTGGCTGACACCCTGGGATGGATGTAATATGTCTCTCCAAAGCAGGCCAGAGGATATTTTAGGACCTCTGGATATCATAAAGGAAATAGTGTTTCCTCAAAGCACCTAGCTTTCAAAGTCATGCTAATTTGTCTTTGCAGAAATGTTTATTAATTAGTCCTTTCATAATTCAGCAATACTAGGTAAATAAAAATATATGATTTGACTAACTGGCAGGAATTTAATATTTTAGTGAGCAGAGAGTGGCTCAGGAGTGATTTTTTAAAAATTAAGCACACTACACATTAAGCTCTTGTTTGAAATTTAGAACTGATTATATCACAACATTAGAAATCCAATTGAGTTTTGGAGACCAAAGCAAATATTGATGATAGTGTCCTAAGAATAATATGTTGTCATAAATTGCTCTGCTAAAATTACATTGTATGAGATGAACATATATGTTTCCTTCTCACTATAATGAACTATATTTTGGAGTTATTGGTTTGCCCCTTGTCATTCAGTACTGACACTGTGAAAAGCAGAACATTCAGACAAGAGAAGCTTCTTGCTATAATGTACTTCCTGTTAAGATCTCTCCCCAAAGTAACATAATCAGAATCTAATTAAGCCTCTATGTCTCATACCATTATTCTGGAAATCAGGTGGATAGAGAAACATGTCACATAATACCATGGGGATATAGGGAGACAAATCCAGTATGCATGAAATCCTACAGACAAATGATCCAGTTTCATCAACAATCAATGGAGTAAGAAAAAGGATGGGTGATATAGATTAATGGGAGAATAAGAGGCATCATGACCAAATGCAATGTCTGGGTCAAATTCTGATCCTAATTTGAACAAAGTAACTATAAAAAGACATTTTTGAGACAGTCTGGGAAACCAAACATGGACTTACTATGTTAGGAGTTACAACTGTGTTGAGTGTGATCATTGGTATTGGGATGTGGAATTATATTTAAAAAACATGCAGTCAGAAATTAAGAGGGGGAACGAGGGAGGAAGTCTTTGTGAGAGATGCATAATGAAAGTATTTAAAGATGAAATGAAATCTCTGGAATTTGCTTTAAAATAACTCTAGAAGAAAAAAAGAACTTCAGCAAGGGACAGATGAAAATGAAGGCAAAATGTTAATGACTGTTGAAGTTGGACGATGTATATATGGATGCATTATTCTCTCTATTTTTGTGTATATATTTGAAAAGTCCCATATTAAAAAGTTTAAAAACAAGCAAATATTCATCACTCAGTACAATGCTGCCTTCTCTCTGTCACACGACTCTAACTTACCTGTTCTAATGGGAGCTTTGAAGTCCAGAATATATCCAGAAGATTCTTCCTCTGAGTTTTAGGGGCATCTCTCATACATAAAAAGAGTTCTTGTGCATTCAGATTACATAGCTGGCACACACCATGTTCAATTTCAAATACTTTGGCTCGCAGGTAACCATTATTAGATCGAATCCAAAATTCCTCCTGACATTTCAGAGAGCAAAACCGTGAATCCCAAGTGCTCACTTTACACTCTTGCTTAGTTTGGTAAGTGGGTTGCTGACAGCGAAGGCAAAGTGGATTTCCTTCATTATCCACAGCTTGCAAATAGCCTTTGGATGTAGAAGGCTTCACTCTGAGATCAGCTTGGGCTATGCAGGGATTTAGAGATGGGACACAGGCTCCATCCTCAAGAAACTTTCTAGAATTGAACAAAACATTTACTAGGTAACTAATGGACACGTACACTAGTCTAAATAGTTATTACTGCATATAAAGGTTTTCAAAATTTCTATCCCAATAAACAGTAAACACAGGACCCAAATATGCTGTGATTTAGTGAGGAAATGACATAGATGTAGTCAAGCACTCTATACCAAATAAAGGAAAGAATGGTGCATTTTAAAAAACAATTTGAATACAAATATGCTATGCCTTTTGGGAATTTAGGTATCTTCAAGTTAAACAATCAGACTTTGAAATATCTGGAGAACTTAGAAAATGAGAAGTTAGCAATGCTTCTTCAAGCTGGGAAAAGGCAGGCTAATGTAAAATCCCATCTAAACTTAGTGGCTACCATGCTCTAAACGTGCTGTTCTCATACCACATTAGAAGAGAGAGGCCATTCCTAAGGCTTTCATAACACTCTCTTCCAGTCTCTCCAGGCCTACAGGAAACGGAGTCACATCCAGAAAGTCACAGAGCCAAGTAGGTAACAGGGTTGATAGGAAGTAGAAGACTTGCTGAATATATGCCCCTAGAGGTCAACTCTGAGTTGACTGGATTTAAATTATAAATGAAACATGACAGGACATGCACTCAACTTGTTAAAATAAAAGGAAAAGGTATATTACTCAATTATGTTGTAAAGTCCTACATGGGAATTACAACTGCTTTGCCTATTTTCTGCAGCTGTTTGTTAGAAGTGCTAAAAGTAGAACTCTGTATGGCATTAAGAACTCAAGATTTGGCTTCAGGTCTCTAGCATCTTGTGGCCTGGTGCAGGTCACTTGGCCCACCTGTCTCAGGGTCCTTCCTCATTGCTAATTTTTAATGGGAAGACATCATGTGTCTCACATGACTGCTAGGAGTATTGAGAGCTACTGTAGTGTGAGAGCTCTCATAACCCATAAAGGGGTCACACATATTACAAATATGAATACATGAATGTAAAGAGTAGCCTTAGTACTAATCTGTCCTACTAATAAATAAGCCTTACTTTGTGGAAAGGTCCCTTGGCCTGGGCTCCTTTGTGATCAGACGGACATGGCCCCCGTCATTCTTCAGCTTCTCCATTGAGGCCCCAGCAACATCTTCTTTGGTTATGTATCTAAAACAATTATATGTTAAACAGACTTCCTCTCTGTCCTATGAGAGTTTCTCTATTTCATGTTCACATTCTTCCTCGCAAAAGCAATAGGAGAAAAAGCAAGATACAAGCGTATTTATTGTGCTGATACTAAAGTTGGGGAATGGAATTTTCTCCCTTTACATTGAAGTCCATGTATGGGTAACACATCTTTTATTTCCAAATTAATTTTCTTGATTTATTTTTCTAAGAAATTCAAGAGTTTGGACCAATTTTTACTTAGGGGAAAAAAGGAGTGGGTGTAGGAATAAGAAATGATCAAATATACACACAGCTGACAACATTAAGTTAACAGCTTGCCCAACTGGGTAGAAAATCTCTAACTGCATTTTTACTTCCCTCTTGGCCTTTTCTTCAAGGTTTCTTAAATCACCTTAATCAGTTATAATAGTGTATCAGCGCATTCGGGCTAAGTGATACTCTTTTCAGTTAACCAGGCTCAATAATATCTTCTATAATCTCAAGGTTGTTTCCATTATTAACAGCCCATACAGGGTTTATGGAATCTTCCACTGAAATAAAGCAATTCTTGATGTGGGATTCAGAACCTTATTACACAAAATACTATCAATACCACACAGAGGTTTAGGGACTGGAGTAAAGATGAAAGTTATTCCAATTAAAGGTGTAAAGGTGATGGGGGAATTTAAGTAGGTGAAATGCAATTATCCAATTCATTCCTTCTAATTAGCATGGCCCAGTTTTTCTGGTAATTTGCACCTATTGTAGTTTTAAGAAAAATCAGTTTAAACATGAATTTCTTCATATTTCCTACCACTTCTTCATTTGGTAGCTTGACAGTAACACTGAAGTTAAATCACTATTGGAATTGTGCAATTCTGGAAAAATTTTAGAAATCTGCTTTGATGTTGTTAAAGTAGATTTAATAATTAACACATTTCCTTCTTATTATAAGCCATTTCACTAATTTTATTAGGTGATAAGTGCACAGGTTTCAAAATTGAAAAGGCATGTAGTGGTATATATGATAAACAGTAAGTTTCTTCCACCCACATCCTTCTTTCCCACCTCCCCCAAAGCATCCCCTGTTGCCGGTTTTTAATATATCATTTTAAAAATAGTTAACTTTTTCTGTGTATAGTTTCCACCTTTTATTTACTTATATCTGTATCTTTATTGACATATAACTCATGTATCATAAGATTTACATTTTTCAGTTTAAAACTAAACTTAAAAAAAGTTAATCTGTGGCATTTTAGTATTTTCACAAGGTTGTACAACCATCACCACTATCTACTTCCAGAACATTTTCATCGCCCCAAAAAGAAACCTGGACTCATTAGTCATTCCCGTTACACTTTTTATTTTTAAAAACAAATGGTAGCAGAGATTAAAGGCGGCGGCATGAGAGGCGAGACAGAAATCGCCTCCCAAAACCACATATAATATTAAAATATAGCAAATACATCTAATTCTCAAAGAGCAAAAGGAAAGAAGGCTGCAGCAGATTACCTACACCTGGGGAAAAAAGCAGACCTCAAGGAAAAGGTAAAGTATCAAAGCCATGATCTGGCAGGACCCAAGCCCTTCTGCCACCCCAACTCACTGGAGAGAGGAAGAAAAACAGAGTGGGTGTAGGCCTAGGACTGCTGAACACTCCAGCCCTGGAGATCTGTTCTGGGAGCATGAACCTGCATTACATGGTGCTCTGGAGAATAGTGGGGTTGGAAAGCTAAGACAGGTGGAATACTTGGAGAGACTGAGATCAGCTGCTTGTGGAAAACATGTATCCACAACCGGTCGCTCTGGGACAAAAGAAAGGTGGGCAGTCTGAGAGACTTCCTAACAGTGACAGAGCTGCTAAAGAGGAAAGGACAGCACAGAGCTTGCTGCTCAGGGGAAAGGACAAGTGGACAAAATTGTCCCGGTGCACTCTGCCCAGCAGGTTGGGAACTATCAGGATCTTTAGGCACTCCATCACCCTGGCTGACTATGCAGCCACAAGGCCCACCACAACAATACACAGCCTACTGCTCCTTCCTCCCAGCCAGTATCAGTTTGCAAATAGCCTGTCCCCACCATTGCTCCAGGCCAGCCAGAGGGCTTCCCTGCCTATGGCAGCTACAAGTCCAAGCATAGAGGCTTCACCCTGTGTGCTCAGCCCACTGGTCCTAGCAGTGGAGACAGGCACTGCAGCCAGGAAGCAGGAAAGAGCGCTTTCCTCCTGACAAGCACCAGTGCTGCTCACCTGCAACCCCTGCCATCACTCCAGGGCTGAGCAGCTCCAGACAGTAGAGCTTCTGGGCACTAGAGGATACCACCTACAAATATTAAACACCAAAGAAACGTGGATCCAACCCAAATCCCACAAACAACAGAAAGAGGGCCAAGTGAAACTAAATTCATAAATCTTCCTGAACAAGATTTCAAAATAAAAATCATAAACATGCTCACTGAGCTACAGGAAAATATGCAAGAACTCAGGGAGGAATTCAAGAATGAGATACAAACATTGAAGAATACAGTATCTGAAATGAAACATATAATGGAGGGATTTAAAAGTGGATTAGATGTAGTAGAGAAAATGGTAAATGAACTAGAAATTAGAGAACAGGAATACAAAGAAGTTGAGGCACAGAGAGAAAAAAGGATCTCTAGGAAAGAAAGAATTTTGAGAACTGTGTGACCAATCCAAATGGAACAATATTTACATTATAGGGGTACCAGAAGAAAAAGAGAGAGAAAAAGATATAGAAAGTCTCTTTGAGAAGATTAAAGATGGCAGCATGAGAGGTGAAACAGAGGCTTCCTCCTAAAACCACATATAATATGAAAATATAATTAATACAACTACTCTTGAAAGAGCAACAGTAAAGAGGACTGCGCCAGATGGCATACACCTGGAGAAACGAGCAGACCTCACAGAACAGGATGACATACCAAAACTGTGGCCTGGTGGGACTCAAGCACTTCCCCCAACCCAGCTCACCAGCAGGAGGAAGAGAAATGGAGTGGGAAGGGACTGGAGGCCTGGGACTGCTGAATACCTAAATTTGGAGATCTGCTCTGGGAGCACAAACCTACATTTCATTGTACTTGCATGGTACTCTAGAGGTTAGGGAGTTGGAAAGTTAAGACAGGCAGAATTCCTGGAGAGACTGAGATTCCAGCCACTTGTGGAAAGCAGGGATCTATATCCAGCTGCTCTGGGACAAAAGAAAGGTGGGCAGTCTGAGGGACTTCCTAACAAGGAGGCCGTTAGCAAGAGGGCTCCTAAAGGGGCAAGGATTGCACAGAGCTTACTGCTCAGGGGAGAGGACAGGAAGACAAAAGTGTCCGGCTGCACTCTACACAGCAGGTTGGGAGCTTTCATGATCTTCAGGTACTCCAGCTCCCTGGCTGGGTACACAGCTCCAAAACCCCCTCCATGATACACAGCCTACTGTGCCTTTCTCCCAGCCAGCCCCACCTGGCTCGCAAATCGGCAAACCCTACTCTGGTGTTAGGCCAGACAGAGAGAAGATCTGTCTACAGCAACTACAAATACAAAGCATAGAGGCTTATACCTGTATGCTTGGCCCACTGGTTCACGCAGTGGAGACAAGCATAGCAGAGGGAAGCAGGAAACAGCTCTTTCCTCCCTCCAGGCACCAATAACACTCCCCAGCGACTGCCGACATTGCTTCAGGAGCTGAGCAGCTCCAGAGAGTAGAGCTTCTAGGCAATAGAGGGCGCCATATACAAATATGTAATGCCAGAAGAGCCTGGTTCAAAGTACAATGAATAATACAACTCCTGAGAAAGATTTAAATGACATCTACCTCATGAATCTTCCTGAAAGGGAATTCAAAATAAAAATCATTAACATGCTCATGGAGGTAGGGAAAGATATTCAAGAACTCAGGAGTGAATTCTGGTCAGAGATCCCATTGTTGAAGAGCACAATGGAGGGTATTAAAAGCAGATTAGATATGGTGGAGGAGATGATAATGAAATAGAAACTAGAGAAGAGGAATACAAAGAAGCTGAGGCACAGAGAGAAAAAAGGATCTCTAAGAATGAGACAATATTGAGAGAACTGTGTGACTAATCCAAACGGAACAATACTTGCATTATAGGGGTACCAAAAGAACAAGAGAGAGAAAAAGGGATAGAAAATGTCTTTGGGGAGGTAACTGCTGAAAAATTCCTCAATCTGGGGAAGGAGAGAGTCTCTCAGGCCATGGTGATGCACAGATCTCCCAACACAAGGGTCTCAAGGAACACAACGCCAAGACACATAGTAATTAAAATGGAAAAGATCAAAGATAAGGACAGACTATTAAAAGTAGCCAGAGAGAGAAATTAGATCACATACAAAGCAGAGCCCATCAGGCTATCTATCATCAGACTTCTCTGCAAAAACCTTACAGGCCAGAAGGGAGTGGCATGATGTATTTAATGCAATGAAGCAGAAGGGCCTCAACCAAGATTACCTTATCTGGCAAGATTACCATTTAAATTTGAAGGAAGGATTAAACAATTTCCAGGTAAGCAAAAGCTGAGAGAATTCACTTCTCATAAATCATCTCTACAGTGTTATTTTTGAGGGACTGCTATAGATGGAAGTGTTCCTAAGGTTGAATAGCTGTCATCAGAGGTAATAAAACCACAGTAAAGGAGTAGAACAGTTAATTACAAAGCAAAAGCAAAATTAAATCAACTATCCCCAAAGTCAATCAAGGGATAGACAAAGAGTACAGACCTAATACATAAAGAATGGAGGAGGAAAAAATGGAGGAGAAAAAAAAGAATCTTTAGATTGTGTTCATAATACATACTTAGTGAGTTAAGTTAGACTCTTAGATAGTAAGAAAGTGAACCTTGAACCTTTTTTGGTAACCACGAATCTAAAGCCTGTAATGGCAATAAGTACATAACTATTGATAATCACCCTAAATGTAAATGAACTAAATGGAACAATCAAAAGACACAGAGTCACTGAATGGATACAAAAACAA